AAGGTTAGTATATTTTTTGCAAATATATATATATAATTACCTTATTTATATATATATTAACTAACAATTGTATTATATTTAGTGTTATAACAACTAATTAACTTATCGTCACTAGACATTATACGTATTAGCGCTTAAATATTACATATTAGCTATCGAATAAGCTTTGAGCTTAAACATTATATTAACTATCGAAAAAGCTTTGAGCTTAAACATTATATTAGCTATCGAAAGAGCTTAATTAATGTAATGACAATATTACGTATATCATTTTTTCTTATAATATACTAGTATTTTTTTTTAATATAAATACAGCATTGTTTTCTTTTTAATTTCATATTTTTTCTTTGTAAAACATTATTGAAAATGGGTATGTTTAGTCACTGCATCAAATTGAGCAAAATCTAAATTTGCCTTTTGTTAATATCTAAATTTTTTATAGAATACACACGTGAACAAGAAATTTTGAGATTATTATATTTAATATCTCTATACGATTCAGGACATATCCAAACGATTCAATTTCTTGATGAAGGAATAACAATTACTTATACAAACAATAAGCAAACCCAATTTTATTTTGAAATGGTGAGGGTATATAATAAAGATGGCTTCGAGAATAAGATAGCCGATAATCTCAATACAATGCTTATTGTAAGTGAAGACCCTAGCGTTGAGGGTAATGAAGATACAATTGTAAAATATTATTTATTCGATTTAGGTATATAATACGCACGTGAACAAGAAATTTTGAGATTATTATATTTAATATCTCTATATGATTCAGGACATATCCAAACGATTCAATTTCTTGATGAAGGAATAACAATTACTTATACAAACAATAAGCAAACCCAATTTTATTTTGAAATGGTGAGGGTATATAATAAAGATGGCTTCGAGAATAAGATAGCCGATAATCTCAATACAATGCTTATTGTAAGTGAAGACCCTAGCGTTGAGGGTAATGAAGATACAATTGTAAAATATTATTTATTCGATTTAGGTATATAATACGCACGTGAACAAGAAATTTTGAGATTATTATATTTAATATCTCTATATGATTCAGGACATATCCAAACGATTCAATTTCTTGATGAAGGAATAACAATTACTTATACAAACAATAAGCAAACCCAATTTTATTTTGAAACGGTGAGGGCATATAATAAAGATGGCTTCGAGAATAAAATAGCTGATAATCTCAATACAATGCTTATTGTAAGCGAAGATCCTAGCATTGAGAGTAATGAAGATGCAATTGTAAAATATTATTCATTTGATTTAGGTATATGATTTTAGCTTTATTGCACTTAACAAAAGATAAGCTTGTCTTTTGTTAATATATTTTAATTTATACTTTTGATTAAAATTTAAAGATATCGAGGAAAATATTGATCCGAAAGAAGAAAATAATAAAGATGACCACGCAAATTTTGATCTGAAAGAAGGAAAAGAAGTATATAATAAAGGCAACCAAGACAAAAGGAAAAGCAAT